CTCTCTCTCTCCTTCCTGCTATAATGTCAAGAGGGGGAGGTGTGTGTGCAATGTGAGGTGTGGTTGTATGTGCTTGTGGCATCCTCCAGAGAAAAAGCGAAAGCTTCCATCCTTTTTCTGCAGGACGAATTTCCAGTCGACCATCTGAGGACAACTCTCATATCTTCGACGTTTGGTTTTCTCTGGGATAAGCAGGTTGTGAAGTGGGGTGGAGAGAGAGTTGGGCAAGAAAGGGACCTCGCCCTTAGCTCTACCCATGCATGAGTGGCTTTATACACAGGATAGGATTTTCAAACTTGGTGAATATGTATATTATCTCCATTTTATCTCGGAGATACTACTTTATCAAGTAGTAAGTTTCTGAATGCAGCCGAGTCTAAAACACCCACTTTTCCCACTTCACAATAACACCTCGCTGACTGTGACATGCCATACTGAGAGCTACATAAAGAGAATTATCCAACACTGTTTGGGACAACATGGTGAGACATACAAGGACCACTGAACTCAGCTTCATAAAATGTTACACCAAGATGTGAATGATCAGTGAAGCATTTTCATTGGATAGGTCCAGGACAAGAACATGTTAGGATTGAGAAAGAACACATCCTAAAGTCAGGTGGTGATTATAGTCTGTGCCCATGATTAGCACTGCTGTTCTTTTTTACTCAACATGGATTCTTGCTCCAAGCTAGTGATTCTCTACTCTGACTGCACATAAGAATCACCTAAGGAGTTTTTACAGAATCCTGATGCCCAGGGCTGCTCTGGTAGACTCTGATTTAATTGGTTGGGGGTGGGACCTGGGCACTGATAATTTTTACAAGCTCCCCAGGTGATTCTAATGTGCAGCCAGGGTTGAGAAGCAATATTCTAAGATAGCAGTGGGAGGGGTACACAGGGAAGAGACTGGCTTGTAGAACCTCTTTTGATGGCTTAATGGTAACCAGCTTGCTAATGATGTTTACCATGTAAGAAAGGGCCAGATGTCTGGATTAGCTGGAGAACTAATTGATTTCCTTGCAAAACACGGTAATGTTTAGTACTGACAGGGTGTAATCCTAGAATCTCTCAGAAGGGCTATAAGGAAATCTCAGGCATTTTATACATTCCCCTGGATTAGTTGGAAGTTGAGGGGTGAAAAATAGTTATATACATTAACAACATTTAAAAACATTTTTAAAGAAAGGAAACCACAAGAGAGCAGATTGTTTCCCCTTAGGGGAAGAAGCAATTCCTGCTATTCCAGAAGAACTCGAGCTGCAGCCAGTCTGCCCTCCCACATGCCCTTCTCCCAGGGTTTCTTGGCAGAAGCCATCATGGCAGGATGACTGGAGGATGCCTGCGCGGTGAAGTTTTCCCCAGGGAGGAAGGTGGGTCAACACAGACATCACTGGGGCACAGAGGGATATCCAGGGATAGCTGGCTTTTTGTATGACCCCGAATTCCTGTGCATTAGAACTAATCGGCTTCCTGGCGTCCCAGTGCCTTCTCTCCTGAGCAGGCTGGATGGAGTCTCCTCATCAGGGCCTGGTGCGACTGGTGGCTCTCAGCCTCTCCCTCAGGGAGGGAGTGCATGCACTCACTTTTTCCAGTGGGCTTCTCGGTCTGATTTAATGGATATACCAGGACTGATGACACATCAGCACGGGATCTTTCTTTTGCTTCTTGGGTAATTGTCCTGTTAACAGCTGTTCCAGGCAGAGAAAGGCGGCGGGGAGGGGGGGTGGTGTGGGGATGTGGGGGAGAGGGAGGCTTCCTGGGTGAAAAAGGATACACCCTGGATTTTAGAAGGTTAATGAGTGGGTTCTGGGAAGGAGGTTTGCACCTGCTCAGACTTGATCTGAAACTCTATAGACAGAGTGGAAGACAAGATAGTCTTTCAATCTCCACTTCCTACACAGAGTACTATTAAATATCCTGGGTGCCCACACCCTGCCAGGCCTCACCACCGGCTGCTGACAGTGTCTCTACATCTCGATTCTCCTTAGCCCTTGCAATGGGCCAGCAATTCTTTGTCTTTCCTTTTTTTCTTCCCACCTTTTCAGTAACCACTAAGCAGAAAACTTTCTGACTACACCTAGTCATTCTTTCATCAACAAAACAGTTCCCAATTCAGCTCTCTCCCACTTTAGGCTCAAATAATTATTATACACATTTAAACATAGTACTTGACCTCTCCACACTTCTCCCACCACTTCTCGAAGGCTGAACAGGGAGCCCCTCCTATCCTCAGCACCTGCAACTCTCCACACCCAAGACCCCAGAAAGGAGAGAAAGGAAAGGAGACAGTGGGTAAGAGGGCTATCTCAGCAAACCTGTGAGTGATTAAAAAGTGACCAAGTGAATTAAGGCTTCCACAGTGATGTGAGAATATCACATGTGATGTCCCTGGTGTAGCTTTTCCACCCACAGCTGCCATTTCAGTAAACATTCATCTTGATTTCATGTTACTCTTACATGTACTAACAACCTTATTTTTCATCCCAGACACCTGGTACCCTACTGTGCAGCTCAAAAGAAACTTGGAAAATACAGACTGTCCAACACATTCAGTTCTGTTGGTGCTAAGGTTCCCTGACTCCCCATAGATAAAAAGATTGCTCAGTTGTTTTCTCAGAACTGTGTCAAGGTTTAAATTTGTTCTCTATTTGCTATGTCAAACAGATGGCCACTCTTCGTATGCAGTCCCTCCTATCTTCTCAAAATAGTCTTGTATTTAAGCCCAGTAACTTTAGTCTAGCCTTGGTATCTTCTAATACTTTGGTTTTAAAATATTTTCTTCTCAACCCCCTTGATATATTTTTAGAGTTACTGATTTCATCTTAATTTCTCCTCCGTTCTTATCCAATATTGGTCTTATTCAGGGGCTGAATGGCCATCCACTTCCTTGATAATATGCCATATCATCCAAAACCACATCTCCTCCAAGGATTAATTTCTGTTTTTAACAAGAACTTTTAATCACAGGAGTGCTTGAGTTCCCCTTCAATTACTCAGCAAGCTCCCCCCACCCCCCAGATTTTATTTATTTTTTTATAGCTACCCTGTGGGCTTGTGGGATCTCAGCTCCCCATCAGGTCACTACAGTGAAAGCCCATATCACTAACCACTAGACCCCTGGGAACTCCTAGCAAGTATTTATTGAGTGTCTACTATTGCAGGTACAGTTCTAGGCTTTGAAAGACTCAACCATTAATGCACAAAACTCTAGTCCTCAATGGAGTTCATATTCTAGCATTTTCTGGAAGACAAATAGTAAAACGAGAAAATAAAACATGTGCTCTCTGAATCCATCTTTGAAATGGGTAACTAACTCTGTAGTTTTCAGAGAATTCAATGCTTATACTTATGTATAGTGAAAGTGCTTTATAATCTGTGAACCATCCCAGATTTAGCTGCCTAACTCCAAACATGTGATGGACTCGACCTCATCAAATGACTTATCAGTCGGCCTTGTTCTTTGTTGTACAAGGACCAATGACTTGCCCACTAGATTAACAGGATCTTCTAGGGAGTCAAGAATTTGAGTCAACGCCTCTGTCCCACAGCTAGGAACAACGTACTACGAACTCCAACTCAGTGCTTGTCTTTAGACCCCTTTTAAGGGGTCTTCGCACTATGGGTCGTTTACTAAACGGGCAAGGTTATCACACTGCCACCTCAGGATAAGTGAATTATTAACTCTGGTGTGATGCCTCAAAATGTGCAAGCTTAAAAACTCCCCAAGGTGATGCTGGGGGTAAACCAACGTTCGAAAATCAAAGTTGTTGGTTAAGAGTGGAGAACACTAGAAACTGAGGAGTCTCTGAAAAGCAAAACTAAGCTGCGTGGGAAGTTAGGCGGGGGAAGAGCAGACAGAGGAGACGGTGTTTGTATCGTCGCAAAAATCACTAACTATGCCACATCGCTCATATCCCCAACGTCCCACCACCTTCGTGGCAACCCATCCACACTACTCGCACACAAGGGGCGCAACGATCCCTGACTGGCAAAGGGCCCAGCGCCGGGCCCTCATGGAGCGGAAGCTGGGAGACCGGTTTCCGCTGCCAGCACCCAAGATGGCGGCATGAGCGTCCAAAGCAGGCGAAACACATGCTCTGTGCCCTACCTCGGCCTCTCAGGTCTCACTGGACTTTTGCAAGTCACCGTGGGAACCCTCAGTGGGGGGACTCCGCGCTCCGGCGGTGATACCATCTCCCATTCCCAGTCCTAAGCCCTTATACCCGTCAAAGAATGCACTGGAAGCGCACAGCCTGTTCACCTCACTCCATGCCCAGGCTGTAATACCGTCTGCGGCCAAAGCACGACCGAGGGGGTCCCAAACGCCGGGCGCTGTGGCCTTCGCCCCACTTATTGGTGGGCCCACGCCGTGAGGCGGGCCTACATGCCTATTGGGCCATGGACCATGTCAGTCTTGAGAAACCGGTAAAGGGAGAAGGAGGCATACTCAGTTACTGGGCTCTCTTTACTATCCGTCAAAGCGACATCCGGCGACGGCCACCATCTCGGCTCTTTGATTGGAGAAACGTATTGCCGGGGAGGACTCGGAGGGCGGGCTTCCGAGTGAGGTGGAAGGAGGGGGCGGGGAGGGAAGCGGAGGCTGGCGAGCTCTAGGCCGGCCGGCGCTGGCGGCTGCAAGGCCTGGACTCGGGCTGAGGGCTTGCTGTGGTGGCAGCGGCGGACGCCGAGCTCAGCAGCGGGTATCAGGCACCTTTCTTTCCCTAACGGGAGGGGCACAGCCCCGCGGGACCGAGGCTTACAGAGTGAAGGGCGGCGGGGTGGAGCTGAGGGGCAGGAGGCGGGAGCGGGCGGCGGAGCGGGGTTTACCTCGGGGCCGGGCCCTGGGCCTGGCAGGGAGGGGCCGAAAGGCCGTGGAGAATTCCAGCTCCGGGGTGGGTTGGACTGGGGAGGGCTGAGGGCCTGAGAAGGCGTGGTGTTAAGCCCGTGCTGGGGAGCGGGGTGGGGCCATAGGGGCGGAGGGCGGGGTGGGGTTTGGCCGTCCGGGTGGGTCAAGGCCAGGAAAGTAGCACTTGTTCGCTGCTGCCCAGAAGGCTAGAAGCCGAGGCGCCAGGAGCGGCATGGCGACTTGGTCCCAGCCGGACTCGGGTATCCGGGGCAGGGTGGGACCGGGCTCAGACCTGGCATTACTCGATCTTTAAGGGACCTTGTCCGGTTTCTGGAACTTAATTGCTCTTGGGAGGTTTTTAGTAGTAAACTGCGTGAGAACTGGAGGGTAGTGTAAGCAGGAATTCTGGGTCGCAATTATGTTTATTCTAGCCAGATAAGGGGTGTGTGTGTCTGTCTGTCTTTGGGTGGGTGTGCGTTTGTCTTTTTCCCTTTAGGATGAAGTTGGTAGGTGGGTCATAGCCTTGGAGATCAGAGGGCTATGTCTTGGTTTATAAGGTTAATGGAAGCTCAAAAGTAGAGACTAGAACCGAAAGGCAGGTTTACTCCCTCCCCACTTGGCTGGCTGGGTTGAAGACTTGGCCATAGCCCTCTACTTTGGATCAGAAGGTCACATGAATGAAAATAAAACATGCGTATTCAAATTCTGGACAGAATAATCCTGTTACAGACCCCTTCCCATCCCGCCAGTACCCCCACTTTTTGTGTGTGTGTGTGAAGGTAATAGGAAAGAGAAATCGGATTTTAAAGTTGGGAAAACAAAAGGTGTCATTCTTTTCTGTGGTGGTGTCCTTTCACACTCCCACGCATTAATAAATTCTCCTCTTAAGAACTTGAAGGGACAAGAATTATAGGCAGTTTTATCCTGAGAGATGGGAAACAAACTTTTAAGATAGGAAATGGACTTCTCATGCTAAAAATAGAAGCTGGGTAGTGTGTAATGGGGTGGGGGAGGGTTGGTAAATCAGATAACATGTAAAATATTTTGGATGCCCTGGGCATTATCTGCTTATCTAAAATGAGCTACCTTTTAGAGCATCACAAAATTAATATCCAGATATTGAGATCCCTTGTGGCCAGTACCTTCTTTGCATAGTTGTTCTATCTGTACAAGATTTTGTGGTTTTTCTGGGAGTGTAATAACTGGATTTATTTTTTAACAGAGATAAAAGTGGCCTTTTAATATGTTTCCTACCTTCTGCCTTGATCCTGGTATGAAAATAATAGAACCTTATCCTGTTGCTTTTGTGATTCCTGTTTCAGGTTTCTCTGGAAACCCCCCTGGTAAGTGTGGAGGAGGCGGGACACTCTGACCCAAGACAAAAGGCCTGTAGCTCCAGCCAAAGAAAATAAACCTTAGGAAGGAGAAGGAGAAAAAAAAAATCATCAGCTGTTTCTGAGAACAGCCTGCAGTGGAATCTACAGAATCTACAGAGAGGACAACTAATGTGAGTGAGGAAGTGACTGTATGTGGACTGTGGAGACAGTAAGTCACGTGGGCCTTGAGGGCCTGGACTGGGTTAGCAACAGTTGTACTTTCAGAGGTGAGGTGTCAAGAAGGGAAAAGTGAATGTGGTCTGGAGTGTGGCCTTGGCTCCAAGGGGTGTGTTTTCCTCTGAGGCCATCAGGGAGCTCAGCCCCTGTGTTCTGCCAGGGTGGGGTACAGGGTTTGGCACTGAGGAGGGTGACTTGCTGGCTGGAGCAGCAGAGCAGTGGCCTTGATTTGTCTTTCAGAAGATTTAAAAACCAAAAAACATAAACATTCTGGTCCTTCAGCAATGCTTTCTCTGAAGAAATACTTAACGGAAGGACTCCTCCAGTTCACCATTCTGCTCAGTTTGATTGGGGTGCGGGTGGACGTGGATACTTACCTGACCTCACAGCTCCCCCCGCTTCGGGAGATCATCCTGGGGCCCAGTTCTGCCTATACTCAGACCCAGTTCCACAACCTGAGGAATACCTTGGATGGCTATGGTATCCACCCCAAGAGCATAGACCTGGACAATTACTTCACTGCCCGGCGACTCCTCAATCAGGTGAGGGCCCTGGACAGGTTCCAGGTGCCAACTACTGAGGTTAACGCCTGGCTGGTCCACCGGGATCCAGAGGGGTCTGTCTCTGGCAGCCAGCCCAGCTCAGGCCTCGCCCTCGAGAGTTCCAGTGGTCTCCAAGATGTGACAGGCCCAGACAACGGGGTGCGAGAAAGCGAAACGGAGCAGGGATTCAGTGAAGATTTGGAGGATTTGGGAGCTGTAGCCCCTCCAGTCAGTGGAGACTTAACCAAAGAGGTTAGTGGCAATGTGGAGGGGTGGGTGGGAAGGGTCTGGGGTTGGGGGGTGGGTTGGGCTGGTCCTGAAGGAGTATGGTTGTTGTACTAAGCACTGTAAAGAACCAGAGAGGTTCCAAGGAGTTTCGGGCATTGATCTTGGTTAGGAATGGGCTGGACTCTCTGACTAGAATCGACCCACCTCTAAATGTACTGTCAGGGCAGTGGGAGGTTCCTAGAACATGCCTGTGTGTTTACTGCTTGGATTTCAACATGAGTCCTAGAGGCCTGGGGTGGGGGAGGGAGTCATGTTGTGATGGGCTCTGATGCGCTGTATATCGGTTGCTAAGACACAGATATTTTGTGGACTGTTGCCTTGTACCTCCCCCCACATCAAAACACACATACATATCCTAAAGTTCTCCTGCTTTGTGGTCAGGCCTGTTGTTGTTGTAAGGTCCTGATAAGGCGGCTCTCCTGGGCCTGAGCCAGGGGGTAGATTTAGATAGTTATTCTTGGCCAGGAGAGGGCCAGGCTCCCATTCTTTGCTAAAGGCCCACTGCAGGGAGTAGGGACAGGAGGGCTGGAAGCTAGAAGAGAAACTGCATTCTGCTGCTGAAGTCAGCTTGCTTTGAACTGTCAGAGATCTGAACTCCTGCCGAGTGGCTGACATTCTGTTCTGGAAAGAAGGTGATGCAGTTGCCTTTAAGAGTGTTAAATGGCTTCTGCTGCCCCTGCTCCGCCAGTGTGATAGGATGGCTTTGAACTCTGCTTTTGACTCTCTCTTGCCATGCAGTCTTAAGGAGCTTGGGAAAAGGTCTGCTTTGCTTGCCTGGCTGTTAGGGAAAGAGGGATTGCACTGGGCTGGGTTTTCCAGGGCTGAGTCTTGAAGCAAGGGTGCATGGGGGGAGTGTTTGGGAAGAGGAGGGAGTGAAGATGTGTTGAAACTTTTAAAGAAGCTGTAGAAACTTGGCTCTGTCTACCAATCAGACCAGGTTTTGCCTCCCATCCTGCCTTCAAGTCTGTTCCTGAGTTCAGGTCTCTGAATGTTAGTGACTGTCAAATCATGTAGTGACTGTCAAATCATGTGGCTTCCTCTGGGCCCGTGGTCCTCAATTGGGGATGATTTTGTGGTATCAGGGGACATGTGACAGTGTCTAGAGACAGTTTTGGTTGTCACAACTGGAAAAGGTGTAATTGGGATCTAGTGGGGAGAGGCACGGGATACTGCTGAATTTCCTAAAAAGCACAGGACAGCCCCTAAGTAACCGATTGACCTGCCCCAAATGTCCATCGTGCCAGGGCTGCTCTGTGCTGAGCTGGCTTATACTAGCTCTACTTTGAGGGAGACTAGAATTATCTGAGCCAGGGGGCCATGAGCACTCCTTGCCTTGTAGTGCCTCTTTTCTGAGATTCTTACAGTGCCCCCTCTCTCTGCTTCCTCTGTTCTCTTCCTTCAAATGGGCTCCAGTCTGGCCCAGTGGTCTGAAGAAGTGTGCCTCCCAGCCTCCTCTTCCATCCTCCCACCCCATGGTAGCTCCTCAAGGGGTGGGTATAATTGGGCTTGGGAACTCTGCTTCTGGGAACCCTGCAGGCGTAGCTTCATTCCTCTTCCTGCAGGAAACTCTCCTGGGATGGGATGGGACATTTTCAATGTAATTGGATGGGTTGGAACTTTGACCCTGCTGCCCTGCATTTCTTGGCCTTCATGAAGTTCGTTCTTTTCCTGACCCCAGGCCTTCACTGCTCCCTTTGGAGGTTAAGGATGGGTCAGCATTAGGGGCCCAGGCTGGGTGTGGGGGAAGGGAGGATTATTGTGTCTAGAACAACATTTCCTCAGCAACTCAGGGATAAAAATACCCAGGTCCAGAGCATGTGACAGGCACTGCTGGAGCTGGTATTATCCCCGGGGTGGCAGCACTCCCCTGCTGCCAGGCCTATTCGATGGACAGCTATAGCCCAGGCCCTTGTCAGGGATAGGATTCCCCTCGAGGTTGGCACTCTGCCCAGAGCGGGGGGTGGCCTGTGTACAGCTCTTAGCAGGCGAGGAGGAGCAGTCTGTGACCGTGGAGAACATACTGTCCCTGACCTGACCTTAGGTGCAAGGGGAGCAGCAGTGAGGATGGGAGCCAGAACTGTGACCCTGATTTTTTCAGGGTCTTATTTTCTGCTTTATAGATGTGAGCTGGGGCTCAGGCAGAGAATGCTCTTGAAAACAGCTGGGGTTAAGGGTGGGGGGATGTTTTTGTGTCCAGGACTTTGCAGAGCACCGTTCAGTGCTGGCCTTCAGGTTCCTGTCTCCCTCTTGCCTAGGCTGGGCCAGCGCCATGACATCCCTGCATAAGTGTGGATGGCTTCCCCCTTCCTCTCATCTGGCCTGCCCTAGGGTGACAAAGCCCATGGTTCCCAGTGGGTCTGGGCTCACTGGGTTCCTGCCCAGCCTAGCTTTGATCCTTGGTCTTGAGGACGACTGGCCACAGCCCTGCAGAGGAATGGGAATGCTCCTTCCACTTCCAGGGAAGAACTTAAATTCCCAGGGAAGCTGCGGGAGGAGTGTCTGTCCAGTCCTGAGTGGGCTGGGTAAGCAGGATGCGACAGGAGGGAGAGTGGCACCCCTTCCCCCCAGGGCTCTCTCACTGCGCCACCCTGGCTGGCTGACTGGGCTGGGTGGGGCTGCCCGCCCCTGGGTGCGTCTCCTTGAGGAGACGGAGGCGGCCCAGGGATGGGCTGGTTCCTTGCGGCAGCTTCTCCAGCTGCCCTGGTGCAGAGATTGGCTCCCGGCTGCAGCTAGGTAACAGGCGGTGGGAGGGGATTGGCTCCTTCCGCATCTCCAGCGGAGACTTGGGGGAGGAGATTGGCTCTCGTCGCAGCCTAGGTAACGACAGTGGGAGGGGATTGGCTCTTTCCGCAGCCCAGCTGCTGACCTGGGGGAGGGGATTGGTTCTCTGCAGCCTCAGCAGTGACCTGCGGGGTGGGAGGGGGAGGGGATTGGCTCCTTGCTGCAGCCTAGGTAACAAGTTTGGGGGGCATGGGAAGGGGGAGAAAGGGAGGAGCGGGAGGATAGGCCCAGGAGGGAGCTTGCTTTCCTCTGCAGCTTGAGCACGGAGCATGGGGTGGGAGTCCCATCTCACTGCAGCCTCTGCGGTGAGCTCAGGGTGGGGGCTGCCAGACGCCTGAGTGGAACTGGGGTTGTGAGGTGGGAGGGGGCTGCTTCAGGATGGAGAAAGGGGGCTGGGCTGGGCCGCCCAGGCAGCAGCACGGGCGGGGCACCCTCCTTGGGCCCCTCGGAGCTAGCAAGGGGCCACCCTTCCAGCCTGGTTTGCTCCTTGAGAGCCGCGAGCTCCTTGGAGCCCCCTGTCCGGCTGCCCGGCACCAGCTGCCCTGGGGCTCATCTCGCAGACCATGACCCGTCTGGACCGCAGCTCTCACAGTGGTGGGGGCCATGCCAAAGGGAGCCGGCCCCTTAACTCTTTGGTGGCTGGTCACCGGGTGGCCCAGCCCCCCTCTGCTTCTGGGTCCAGGGCTTCTGTTCAGGTTGGTGTGTGTGGGGAGACTGGGGGGTGGGGGAGACACCTGGGAGGTCTTAGAATTAGGGTTACGGTGGGAACAAGATGCCCTATCAGAGCTAGGGAGGTGGGTCTAAGCTCTACGCTAAGGATTATGCTTTATGGAAAGTATCTGCCTTTTAACATCTGAGCGGAAGGCAACAATTCAGGGTTTCTTCAGCCACATGCATGTATAGGAAATCCAAATGTCTCTTATTTATTGGGGTTGTATGCTGGTATGCTGGGTGGCAGTGGGGGTGGCAGTTGGAGCAGGAACTGATCAGGAGGCGCCAGGGTAGAGTGGGAGGGAGGCATTTTGGTGCCCAAGGCGGCAGTTGTGGCTGGGCGGTGATGGGGGGCTATGTCCTTGAGTGGGTTGACTGATGGCAGTCAGTGAGTCCTGGGGTGTGGTAAGGGAGTGAGCACTGGTGTGAGGGGACACTATGGGGCTGGCCTTGGCAGGGGTGGGGTGCCCAATGAGGATCATCTGACCGCTTGAGGCTCTCCGGGGATTGAGGCGGCTTGCTGGGATCAGCTGAGAGTGGGCATTCTAGCAGGGATGGATCTTGAGGTGAGCCTGGGCTAAGAGTTGTGTGTGTTTATCCGTACTCCTGCCTCAGCCAGGGAGAGGGGGAATGGCTGTAGGAAGGGCTGGAGGTAGCCTGTAGTTGTCATTGGTTGCATCAGGTGGTTGCAAATGCAGGGATTTTCCTCTCCAGCCCACCCCACCCCTTTATGCAAATACAATGGCACCATAAGCTGATGCAAGCCTGGCCACTGCGAAGCAACTCTGCCTCACAGTTCACCCTTGCTTGCCATGGCCATCTTTCTACAAACCAGCTTTTAAGGGATTCCCGTTCCCAAAATGAGAGCTGTCTTCTGCTTTGCCCTTCCTTCTTAAGTTGTGGTGAGATTGCCCTGCCTTTTGGCCTGGCTGTGTGTCTGGTCCAGATCCTAAGCACACAGGCTAGTGTGGTGATAGTCATGCTAGAGGTTTTTGCTATCTCTCTTTTTGTTTTGGAGGCTGGTGTCTGGAAATAGATGAATGAAACCTTGCTGGTACGGAGGGGACAGCAGTAGAAGCTGGCAGGTGTAGATTGAGAGCGACCCCACCCAGGAGTAGTTGGGGCGATGCTTGGAGGGACTTCTAAGGGGCAGGACAGGGAGGGGCCCCTGGACCCCAGATCTAAAGTCATGGTGCTCTATCTTTCAGGACATAGATCTGATTGACATCCTTTGGCGACAGGATATTGACCTGGGGGCTGGGCGTGAGATTTTTGACTACAGTCATCGCCAGAAGGAGCAGGATGTGGATAAGGAACTGCAAGATGGAGCAGAGCAAGAGGACACATGGCCAGGCGAGGGTGCAGAAGCTCTGGCACGAAACCTGCTAGTGGATGGAGAGACTGGGGAGAGCTTCCCTGCACAGGTACTCCCACCTCTGCCTACTTCTAGAAACTTCTCTTTAGAGAAGGCAGTGTGTGTCTATGGGATGGGCCTGAATGTATATCTGGGGTTGGGATCTCAGTGATGGGATCTCACATCATCAAGTCACAGTGGTGGCTGAGGAAGTGGGAGTGGAAGAGCCGCAGCAGCAGTGGAGGGACCACACCTTATAAAGAACAGCACGCGGGAGGCAGAGCACCTAGTGGCCGTCCGCTTGCATCAGAACCCTCCCACTCTTCTCCCCTGGAGTTTGGGGCTTGCGGCCAGCCGAGAGCCTGGGGAAGTAGGGAGAGTGTAGCCCTACGACCACACAAGGCCTCCTTCCAGCTTTCCCTTGGAAAGGCTGGGGAAGGGGCTCTGGCCCACAGGCAGCCAAGGCCTGGGTCAGTCAGACTTAACAGTTGCTGTTGCCACAGGTGCCTGGTGGGGAGGACCAGACAGCCCTGTCCTTGGAAGAGTGCCTTAGGCTGCTGGAGGCCACCTGCCCCTTTGGGGAGAATGCCGAGGTGAGCAGGACTCTAGGGAGAGCCCACTGAGCCAGCAGGGTAGCCTGCACATGGTGTGTCTCTGTGACTGCCCAGGGGGCCAGCTTTTGGTGTTGGCCCTCTCCTGGCTGCTGGGGGTGAGTTCAGAGGAAGGAAGATACAGAGCCTCAGGCGGTAGTCTCGGGAGGAAGGCAGAAGGTGGTCTTTCCTCCTTCCCTGTTAAACCTTCTGTGTTTTGCTCTAGTTTCCGGCAGACATTTCCAGCATAACAGAAGCAGTGCCTAGTGAGAGTGAGCCCCCAGGTCTTCAGAACAACCTTTTGTCTCCTCTCCTGACTGGGACAGAGTCACCATTTGATTTGGAACAGCAGTGGCAAGATCTCATGTCCATCATGGAAATGCAGGTAGGATTATCAGAACCAGGCACAAACCTGTCAGACTTTCCTTGGAGTATCTTCATTTTCAGTTGCTTTTCCACTTCTGGGTAAAGAAAGAGTAACACCTTTCTGATTCATAAGGAAAGTGGGGATACCGAGATGTAACTGTCCAGGTGTCTCATTGGGGCAGTAGTGGGTGGAGTCAGGATTGGGGTTGGGGAAAAGCAGCCCTGGAACTGAGGCTTCTAAAGCAGGCCTGCCTCCTAGGTTCACCTTCTTCCTTTCCTTCAGGCAGGTAATCACTTGGCTAGGTGTTTCCTAGATTTGGCATTAAAACAGGCTGACATTCCTGCAGTCCTTTGCAGCCATTGTCATGTCACTTGGCCCTCACATCATCTCGCCAGCCCTTTTATTATTTTAAAGGTGAGGACACTGAAGCTCAGAGAGAGGCTGAATGAAATGCTTCTGGTCTTACAGTAGCAAGTGGTGCAGCTAGGCTGGCTCACTGCAAGGCCAGGTGTTCACTTCACTGTGCTGATTTCTCAGTGTTAGGAGCTTTTGTTCTCTCACTCCATGATGGGGGAGACTGGCCAGAGGTGACCGGGAGCCCATCAGTTCTGCCTTGGGGGGAGTCCACAGGGAGGAACCCATCTCTGCCAGGCCTGGTGGATCAAGTGAGCTCTGGTTTCCCATCTCTTGCATTTATACCCAGGCGGCCATGCCTGTGTTGGGTGCCTGCTAGTGTGAGGCCCCGGCCACACCAGGGGAGGGAATCTGCGCAGAGTGAACGGTGACGCTCGTCTCTCCTCCCAGGCCATGGAAGTGAACACATCAACAAGTGAAATCCTGTATAATGCCCCTCCAGGAGACCCACTGAGCACCAACTACAGCCTTGCCCCCAACACTCCCATCAATCAGAATGTCAGCCTGCATCAGGCATCCCTGGGGGGCTGCAGCCAGGACTTCTCACTCTTCAGCCCGGAGGTGGAGAGCCTGCCTGTGGCCAGTAGTTCCACGCTGCTCCCGCTGGTCCCCAGCAATTCCACCAGCCTCAACTCCACCTTTGGTTCCACCAACCTGGCGGGGCTCTTCTTTCCACCACAGCTCAATGGCACGGCCAATGACACAGCCGGTCCTGAGCTGCCTGATCCGCTGGGGGGTCTATTAGATGAAGCCATGCTGGATGAAATCAGCTTGATGGACCTGGCCATTGAAGAAGGCTTTAACCCAGTGCAGGCCTCCCAGCTCGAAGAAGAATTTGATTCTGACTCAGGCCTCTCCTTGGACTCCAGCCATAGCCCTTCCTCCCTGAGCAGCTCTGAAGGTAGTTCCTCTTCCTCCTCCTCTTCCTCCTCCTCTTCCTCCTCCTCTGCTTCTTCCTCAGCCTCTTCCTCCTTTTCTGAGGAAGGTGCGGTTGGCTATAGCTCTGACTCTGAGACCTTGGATCTGGAAGAGGCTGAGGGCGCTGTGGGCTACCAGCCTGAGTATTCCAAGTTCTGCCGCATGAGCTATCAGGACCCGTCTCAGCTCTCCTGCCTGCCCTACTTGGAGCACGTTGGGCACAACCACACGTACAACATGGCGCCCAGTGCCCTCGACTCTGCTGACCTGCCACCCCCCAGCACTCTCAAGAAGGGCAGCAAGGAGAAGCAGGCCGACTTCCTGGACAAGCAGATGAGCCGGGATGAGCATCGAGCCCGAGCCATGAAGATCCCGTTTACCAATGACAAGATCATCAACCTGCCTGTGGAGGAGTTCAACGAGCTGCTGTCCAAGTACCAGCTGAGTGAGGCCCAGCTGAGCCTCATCCGTGACATCCGGCGCCGCGGCAAGAACAAGATGGCGGCGCAGAACTGCCGCAAGCGCAAGCTGGACACCATCTTGAACCTGGAGCGGGACGTGGAGGACCTGCAGCGTGATAAAGCTCGGCTGTTGCGGGAAAAGGTGGAGTTCCTCCGGTCCCTGCGGCAGATGAAGCAGAAGGTCCAGAGCCTGTACCAGGAGGTGTTTGGGCGGCTGCGGGATGAGAATGGGCGGCCCTATTCGCCCAGTCAGTATGCGCTCCAGTATGCTGGGGACGGCAGCGTCCTCCTCATTCCCCGCACCTTGGCCGACCAGCAGGCCCGGCGGCAGGAGAGGAAGCCGAAGGACCGGAGAAAGTGAGCCTGGGGAGGAAGGGGGTTGATGCTCACCGAGATGGGAACTGGAGAAGGGCTGGGCCTGGACCTGGACCTACAGCGGGGACTTTAATGCCTTCTTATCTAATAGATCTTCACAGAGGGGACGACTGCGGGTCAGTGGACAGGACGAGGCAGGCGCTGTCTGGTTCAGCTTCCCCCGCTGAGGGGAGTGGAAGTGGCCAGACCGTTTGGGTGGACAGGGTCCTCACTCCTTCCCCTTTCCTTCAGGGGAAGGGTGGTGCTGGCATTGCTGGAAGCGGACAGATGGGAAGGAAGGGACTTGTGAGCGGAGGGGGAGGTAGTAGAAAGTCAGTCTCATTTCCTGGAGGGAAAGGAAGGAAGGAAGGAAGGGGAAGAAAAATCAAAGCGGGAAGAAAATCAAAGGGCAGGTTAAGTTGACTCTGGCCAGGATTCCAGGCATCAGGTTTTAGGGGAGACCATTTGGTGTGAGTAAACCCCACTTCACCCCAGGGGAGGGGTGGAACACGGAGTGGGTTCTGGAAGGGGCTTCTGAACTCTCCTGCCCCTGCACTTTGGCATCCCTGAAGGGGAGCTCTTGGATGATATTTTCTGTGAGGTTTCAGTCATAGGGGAGCCACTGGGACCCGACACTGACTTGAAGAGTTAGGATGAAACAGTAAACAGGCAAGGGTCACAGGCCCTGTGTTGCAGCAGCCCCAACCAAGCATGTCACTCAACTGCCCTGCCATCCATCTTCCTCTGTGCCCAGTCACCCCTGAGCCGAGGCTCCCACATCTCCATCAGAGCCTGCATGCGAATGCTGTTCTCCTCCTGCCCGTGTGCCCCCGCCCCTCACTGGCTGCCTGGAGTTCTTCTGCAGCTGGGGTGCTGGCAGTGCCCCCAGTGCTGGGCCTGCAGCCTCCTGGAAGCTGCTCTGAGGCAGGGGGATGATGTGGAGAAGCCAGGCAGTATTCAGCACAACATTGGGGAGTGACCCTTCCCTCAGGCCTCCCCTCCCAACAACTGGGCTTGTCACTGGAAAGAAAAAATATGAAACCCAGCAACGACGACAAAAACTAGTCCTTTTAGAGTTTCTTGCGCTTTGATTTTTTTTTTTTTTAGGGTTTGAGCCCTGTTTCACTTGTAGGGTCTAGAATGCTTGTGTTGAGTAAAAAGGAGATACCCCAATATTCAAAGCTGCTAAATGTTCTCTTTGCCATAAAGACTCCGTGTAACCGTGTGAACACTTGGGATTTTTCTCCTCTGTCCCGAGGTCTCTTGTCTGCTTTCTTTTTGGGTTTCTTTCTAGGAGAATGAGAAGTGCATGTAAGAGGGGCTGAGGGTACCCCTTCCCCAAGGCTATTGGCCGCAGGCAGCTTCTCCGTACCCCGGTTTAGCAAGGGCTTCTGGCGGACCGCCTGGGGGAGGCAGAGAGGGGAGTGCCAAGGTGACCAGGTGGTTCCTGGACCCATGTCTTTGTTTCCTACTGCTGTCCCACCTCTGCCTGGGTCTAGAGTACTGTCTGCCCCAGACTAACAGGAATGAGTTCAAGTGGGGGGAAGCACTGATTCTCTTCCCCACTTGGAGGGGGAGGCGTTCTAACTGAGCAGTAGGGATAGAAGGCATGAGCCTGGGAAGTGCTTTTATAAATTATTTCCTTGTAGATTTATTTTTAATTTATCTCTGTGACCTGCCAGGGAGAGGAGAGAGAGAGAAAGAAAGATGCTGTGAGCACATGACAAAATAAAATAAAATGAATGATTCATTCTCAAGTGCAATTTTTCCCTATTTTGAATTTAAACTGAGTGTAAAGGAAATAGGCCCCAAGAGGAGAGCACTGACCATTGTGTGGCCAAGGCAAAGCTCTTATGGGAAGGTGGGTGAAGAGTGGGGGAGGTTGACAATGCAGTCTTAAATACTGCATTAAATCTTCCAAAAATGAGTTTATTACCTTTTTGTAGGGTCTGCCAGCTGAATCCTTTTAGAAGAAGGACTCAGTATCCTCTGGCCTTTTTCTCATAGGGCTAGGTGGGTTTTGTCATATGGCCCAGCTCCTTACCGGTCCCCCTGCGGCAAACTACATTTTTAACATTGACTGTGCTGTTCTTTCTCTGGTGGTCCCACCTACCAGCTGGAGTGTAGTCACAGTGATGATGGAAACCTGGGAGATTGACGGACCAGCACATGCCAAGCTCTTCATTTTAACAGCAGGGTCCCAGAACTAGAGAAACAGACAATTTGACCCCAGGGTTTAAGGCATTTGAAATCCTTTCCAGCTGAGGTGACCAGAATCTTCTCCCTCAAAAAACCAAAAGCGTATGAAGTGGTGGATGCTTTAAGGTACCAGATGGTTGTTAGAACTGTCTCATGCCCATCTATGGTAGGTACTTTACAAATGCCCAAGCAATAAACAGCCACTTGGCAGTCTGTGAGATTACCAGACAAGGTTTTGGGCTGGAGGCTGTGTTCTCCATGATGAAACCTGTGATCTGGAACTCCCCATGTACCACTGTGTGACCTGGTTCAGTGATGCTACTAGAGTTTATTCTGTGGGGTGAAATAGAATTCTGGGAATAAGGCTGAGCTCTTGTTTCAATTTACAATGGCTTCCCACCCCCTCCTCCCCCCAACTCTAGTTGGAAGGGGTTGGTCAGTCCTATTAAATAAGAGCTGTTTCCTAAGGCAAAAAGAGAAGGCAGCAGAGGATGAAATGGTTAGATAGCATCACCGATTCAATGGACATGAATCATGAATTTGAGCAAACTGGGAGATAGTGGAAGATAGGGAAGCCTGGCGTGCTATAGTCCATGGGGTTGCAAAGAGTCGGACACAATTTAGTGACTGAACAACAAAATTGACTGTAAACCAAATAAAACATTTTGAAGGAAAAAAAGGCTAAAAATTAAGTTGGAAAAACTGCTGATAAAATATATAGAAAACTGTGACAAGTAAAATTCAGAGTAATGTCTTTGTATTCCTTCTAGAAACGTTTCTACCTATTTTTGTTTAGTACACAATTAGGCTTTAACTTTAGTTTTGCAACTTTTTTAACATTTTTTTTAAAGATTTTAAGAGAAAAATGCCTTACCTCCCCTTTGCTAATGTTGCTTCCGGTCTGAGAAAGTATGTTTTGGTCACCCCCTTCCCTCATGTCCCCTTATGGAGAGATGTACAGCTGTGTCTGGGAGCTTACTGATTAGCTGGGGCTTTGGGCCAAGTTGGTCAGCACTGCTGTGGGGCTGACCTCTTTTTGCTGTTGGCAGGTGGAGTGCGTGTTCCAGCTTCAAGGCTTTTTCTGGCAGGAAGAAGATATGAGAACTCAAGTAAGGCCTCTGAAAGCTGTTACACCTGAGACAGGAAGTGAGACAAGGTCCTAGAGTTCACAGGGAGATGAGTAGGCCTCAGGACCAAACTTCTGGGGGTCTTTTGGGGTAGGGGTCAAAAGCTTGCTTTGTCTTGACTTTAGTTCTAGGCATCATTCAAACTGATTTTCCCACACATCTTTAATTATGTAAGGCAGTGGAAGTAGATCCCCCTTTTTTTTTTCAGGCTATGTGAGGTCTTAGTTCCTCAATGGGGCAATCCAACCCCTACCCCCTTGCGTGGAGTCTTAATTGCTGGACCACCAGTAAAGTCCCAGATCCACTGTTTCAGTCTCTGCCCCACATAAGGTCTTACTACTGAAACTAGGGCTATTTCAGTATCAATAAAATAGATTTTCAATAAAAATAGAAAAAAAAACAGAACCGAGGGGGAGAAAAGAAATCTAGAGACATGTTCCAGTGTCAAGACCTGACCTTCATAGCTGACTCCTTGCTCCTCCTAGGGAAAGCTAAACAATTAAAAACAGCTGTTGAATGAGGAGGTACTTTCCATGGAGTCCTGTCTTAGGCTGCCTTCATCCCTGTTTTTACCACCCACAGCTACAGCAGACCTGCTCTTCAGGTCTGTTTGGCAAGTAGCTGGAAAAACAAGTGCCTTGTAGAAAAGTGTCTCCACCAACCTATTTTAACTCATCCAGTAGGGACTGACCTAGAGCAACAGCTTCAGAAGCTCAGACTAAATACATAGTTCTAGGGCATTGGTGCTATGCATGTACTGAAAGGGGTACCAGGTTGGGATCTGCCTTCCTGGAAGTCATTTTCACAACCAAGTGTAGACATGCTCTAGGAAAATCCATGTGTTTGACTACTGATTATGATGAGTGGTTAAGCCTTTTTTTCCTATCCCTGATCTATCTGGGAAGTGAAAGGGACTCAGGCCTTCAACTTGTCATTTTGTCAGTGTACCAAGCACCCTTTCACTTCCACGTCTCACACAGAGATATTTTTCTTTCCTCTAGTTCTGAATCTTACAGTAGAGAAAGCATGTGGGGACTGTGGGGATACATGTGAAACTTAATGCGTGGTTTGAGTTCCAGTCCTTATATCTAGGACTTCTTTGAAAGTTCCTGTCTGCCTGAATTAGTTGAGAAACATAAATCTAGTGTACAAGTTGTCTCCAGTGGAATGAGAATATGGGCCCTTCCTGAAGAGGTGTATTTTCACAAATCAGTAGGATAGAAACCCTTGTCTTCCTTTTTGAATGTGCAGACATATTAAGTCTTAAAGTTGGTTCTTTTCCAATCTAACTGTATAATGGAGTAGGTTGCATGGTATTTGTTACTAATTCCAGTTGCTGTTTCAACCAAGGAAATAAAATATAGTTCATCTGGAGAGAGGGAGAAAAGACCCAAGAGTTGGGGCTATGCCTTTTGTTTTAAACACATTTAATGAGGCTAATTCAGTTGTCTTAACAAACCTTCCAATCTTCAGCTAGGAGCTGAAGCAGTTACTGAAACTATAGGCCCATATCCCAGAGCCAGGCCCCAAAGTAGCCCAGCCTCATCTGTGGCTATTCAACAGTAAACAGGGCAGGATTGGTCAAAGTCTACTAGGATTTTAAAATCCTCATGGCATGAACAGTACTAGCTTTGGTACTATCACAAACTATGCAAACCATCAAGGTCAGAATGTAGACTCAGACTTGCTGGTGAATTAACACTAGCTATTTATTAACAAAAACTAGTCAGCATATATTGTAAACTTAAATGTTTTAGCCTTGCCTCAGAGTTCTGCCACCTAACTGGCCTAAGCCAAAAAAAAAAAAAAGCCTTAGAAACACTCCTTGCTCTACTTGCTTCAAAAGGGCCAACTATGCTTTTTGTCCCAGTAGGATGGTTTTTTTTTTTTCCCCAGATTTCATTTGCTTTCAATACCCATCAGTTTACTCAGGAGGTGCCCAAGGCCAAGTCAATTAAAAGTCATACAGATGAGAGATAAACAACTGAACTCTGGCTAAGGAATCACTAACTTTTAGAGAAAACCTTGCTGGACAATCATACCAAGGTGATGCGCAGATCAGAGACTGATGGTTGTCTAAGGATCTTAAGCTCCTATATCAAACTTCTTACCACACATCAGAACATCAGGATGCTAAAAGAAAAGGTGAAGGAAGCCAAGACTTCCTTTTACTAAGTAAGCTGAGTGCTGGCCTGGTAGTGGTATTTGTATTTCAATCAAATTCTACTGGCGGGAAAACACTGAGCCTAGACTTAGTTCATTGCTGTCAGTTCTGAGTTTTAAATGAGAACATCTTTATGAGAAGGCTAACTTGCATGCACATCAGATTAATATGACTTGATCAGATAGATTTGATCTCAAACAGCCCAGCTCCATAGGTAGTTCAGGATTTGGAGCCATTGCAGAAATTTGGATTTCAGAGTTCCACCAAATTATTTTGATGCAGCAATTTCTTCTAGCATTCCCCCTCTCTAAGAGGAAAATAACTATACCTTATAATACAGATTCCCAGTGTCACAGACCATAGACTGTAAATGTGTTGTGTACATATGGTCAATGCTAACTAGTTGAACATCAAGTTGAACTCCAGTCTTAATGAGTTCTGGAATATAAGATTACATCTGAAAATAAGTACTTAAAAACTCAACTATTAAAAACTACTTACAATTGGTAGTCAAAACTTTCAAATGCCATTGGAAAGCAGAAAGTTACTCCTAAGCAGTACCATTTGAGTGTTTTTTTATTTATTAATTTGAAACTAAAGGCAGTAAAGGAGCAAGGTATTTTCTTTTGACTGGCTTTGCCAGTGTCAGACAATGATTCTGTCACCAATTAGCTAGCTCTTGTTCTTCTGTAATGGTAACTAGGGCAACAACTTAATGTATCTCCTTAACTCTTGGGCTAGAGGTCTGTGATGATGCAGTTTTGTCAAAGGTGTCCAACATATGTTTTTGCATATCTGAAGACATGCTCTATGAATACTTTATGAAAGGAGACTTAAGATTTGTTATGTCTATGTATATTTTTTCCCTAACATTTTTGCATGCATTTGTGGCTTCAACAATCACTTGAGAAGAATTTATCCTTCATTCTTGAGTCTAGAAATGTGTGATAATTGGCTTTTAAAGGTAACAAAATTGTGTACCTTCACTTCAGTTTTCATTGCATGCATTATCAATTCCAGTGTCTTCCCTGGGAAAGAATGATACGGTTTTTTTTTTAAAATACTTGTCTGAGCTGAGTCTTGGTTGCTGTGCCCCGGCTTTCTCTAGTTGCAGTGGATGGGCTTACTCTCTAGCTGCTGTGCGTGGACTTCTCATTGTGATGGCTTCTCTTGTTGCAGAGGACAGGCTCCAGAGTGCACAGGCTCAGCAGTGTGGGAAACGTGCTTAAATGCCCCATGGCATGTAGGATGTTCCCAGACCAGGGATAGAACCTGGTCCCCTTCATTTCGGGAGGATTCTTAACCACTGGACCACCAGGGAAGTCCTACACTCAGTTTATTTGGAACAAATGCTTTGAACTATTGAGTAGAGCTGAATTGATCTCAGTGGAAATCCTATTTCCCCTTTTGTAACTGATGAGAATCCAGTCCTGGGACTTGCCTGGTGGTGCAGTGGATGATCCAGAAGATTCCACATGCCACGAAGTAACTTAAGCCTGTGCACTACAAGTTCTGAGCCCATGTTCTAATAAAGCCTGCACACCCCAACTGCTAAGTCTGCATGCTGCAGCTACTGAAGCCTGTGTACCTAGAGCCTGTGCTCTCAACAAAAGAAGCCCCTAGCAATGAGAAGCCAGTGTGCTGCAAAGAGTAGTCCCCGCTCGCCCCAACTAGAGAAAGCCCACACAAAGCAACAAAGACCCAGCGCAGCCAAAAAAAAAGAATCTAGTTCTGTTTGGGCTCTGGAATTACAGGCAGAAAATGATGTTAAGAAAATGGATGACATTTTAATTCACTGATCAATCATAGGACCAATACCTGAAAAGTCTGGAGAAGTTGGCTTTAGCTAAGGTCATACAAATCTATGATAACATTAGTCAGGATCTAAAGCTAACCCCAAAATCTGTTTCCAAACGTATCATAGTTTGGAACTGCTACCAGGTCACAGACTGCTAAACACATTTTGAGCAGTATGAAGACAGAATGACGTGACAATCTTTGTAATCTGTAGAAATGGTAAATGCTCAGTAAATACTAAATTAATATGGTGAGACCACTCAAAAGACTCACACCAGATACCAGATTTTCAAGCCTATAGTACTTAAAAAAATAAAACCATTCAAGTATGCAGGTTGTTCCCAAAGAGGCTCAATCTCTAAAACAGTAAAAGGCAAGGAGAGTTTCTAGCAAGACAAGACAAAAATCAAGGATTATAAATCTATATAGTTTTATTAAGACAAAAAACTGACAGTGTTGATATGAAGTTTACATTTAAACAAAAGTTTTCACAAAAACCTATCACACGCCTAAAAATTACAATGGAGTTCTAGATGCAGGTCAAGACAATGTCAACAATTGATGGATCTCATGACTCAAGACAGCGTTTTGGATTTTAGTTAATTCTTAGGATTAAAAAATTTGTTTTGTTTTAAAGTGAACCACTGCCCCAGTATGAAAATTAAATCTTCTCCTGAGACCAGGGCTTTTGAAATCATTCAACTCTTGAACTTGTGCTGTCAGTGACTGAACCCTGCCACCAGTGGTTTCAAAGTTCAAAAAACAGAGGCGCCAAGAGTTTTCCACCCTATAAGCACCGGCCCTTGTCTTTCCCTACTCACTTACCTCCTATACCACTCTCTGCCCTTCCCTAAATACTTCACCAGTGGCTTGGATGGAGAAGCTGATATTGGTAACTTCACAAAAGGAAAAGAAAGGGTCTTCTTGTCAGTTTCATAAGTAGCACCTCTAAGACAGAATGATCTGCCTGTGTATACACTCCCATAAGACTTTTCCTCCTCAACCAGTTTCCATCCCCCAAATGGCAGCTTTGGTAGCTTCTTAGTCCTTTGTTGGGAACAGCATTAAGCTCAGGCAGGGAATACCTTGGCTTCTAAGTTTCAGGCATTCACAGCTTTTAAACAGTCTCTCACAGTCCTCATTTAGGTTGCCAATGACATTTTTTGAAAGGATACAATATTCTGGACACAGAACCCAATCATCATTAGTTGTTCTTTCTTTTGTTTTACCACTTCCCCAAATTTTAACAAAAATGATCCTAACCCATCTCCCTTTTTCCCACCCCACCCCACCCACCCCAAATAATACACCAGTAATAGCCAAAAACTACACACATGCTACGCTGTAAAAATGCAGAGTTAACACTATCGGGAAGAAGGCTGTGTGGGTTGTGGAGATGCTCTTTGAAGATTTACAGTTATCTCTTGCTCTCCCACATCCCATTCTGCGTTTTGTCCTTCATAGAAGGCCCTTTGCTTTTTTTTTTTTAAGCAAAGTTCAGAACGGGTTGCCTTGAAACACTGACCCTCCTTCCCCTCCACCGGGATGGGTGTGCAAACTATACAGCATGGAACGGCTTTAAAGCACTTGGGCTGCTGTAGGGCACAGAAACTATACTGGCTCTTCAAAGGACATCTTCTCAAGCCACCTTTATGGTGTCAAGACAAGTAGAACTCCTTCTTTCCCCACTTGAAACCCACAGTCAGATGTGACAGGGGCTGGTATTCAAGAAAGTTAATTCTTATCATCTTTTTTGTCATCATCCTCTGAGGGGTAAGAATGCCACGTCAGCCTTTCCTCATAGAAGGATATGACAACCTGCGGGCACTTGACATTGGCCTCCTTGGCGGGAACCAGGTCAGCCTCGTCAGAGTTCTTCCTGTGGAACAAAGCACAGAGAGACTTTGAGACCAGTGTTGGTGGTCTCCTGACATGGGTCTCCCAAGAGACTGGGCTTTAAAAAGACTAATTCCAGAAGCCAGGCCAGGGAAGGATGATAACATGGGGTAAGCATCATGTACTAGCAGCTTTTAGCCAAATAATATCCTCAGATATCTTCTCCCGTTGAAAATACCCTCTTTGTCAAAAGCTAACTCTGAACCCCTGGGAACCTCTGAACACCCCCACACATAAAAAACATGACACTCTCAGATTCTTTGAAGGAGTAAGAGAGGCTACTATATTCCGTCAAAGCCATATCCCAGCTACTAAAAGTCCATGGAGAGATCCTGGCCTGGTAACAGGATTTAATACCATGTTGGGTAATAAGATTTAATACCAATCTGGCTCTGGCCAGAGCCAATGCAGGTAGAGACTTTGTTGCTGACTCATAATCACACTGTTTAACACTACCAAATACCATGCGCACACAGATAGGCCACAACTCCCAGGTGCTTTGAAATGGTGCTTCAAAACTGGGAGGTAGAAAATAAAGGGGCTGTTATGTAATTTTCTATATTTTTCTGAATTTTAAAATGTTCTCAAAAAATTGAAAACCACATACATATTACAAGGGACTTAGGCATAAGCTCTCTCTTCAGGTCACTGGGAACATCCTAGATGAAAGCAATAGCACAGGGCAGGCAGCAGACAGATACATGTAAGAGGGGATCTCTGATGAGGCACCACACCAAACTTCTGGAACACCAGCAACATGTATCACCTAAGCCACACAGCCCCACCGACCCAGGGAAGAGTAAGCCAGAAAAGTATGTTTTTTAACAACAGATAAGAGAATGGGAGGGAAAAGAAGTATAACAGTATGGGAGCCTGAAGCAGCCTACCCCTTGCTGACAATTCAACAACAGCCTCTGAGGTAACTATTCAGTCATTTCACTGCACAGAAAAATAGCTACTTAGGGAAATGAACAAGTATCTCCATTCTCTAGGAGAAATAACTTTAAAATGAACCTGGTTTTATAATCAACATCCAATCTTAACTTGCAATTACATTCAGCTATAATCTTTACACATACTAGTGAGTCAACCAAAGGGATGTAATGTCAAGCAATAGGAAGTGCTGCCATTACTCAGATTGGTCACATACAGCCACACAAAAGTATATCATAAATGGACTGAGTAACTCCTGATATTAATTCTTTTCCCCCATATGCAGCACCTTAAAAATGAACTTTTCTCCTACAGGCCAGCAATAAATAAGCTAAAAGAAGGTCAGGTTCAATAAACACCTAGGGAATGCATGGGGAAAAAAAAATAAAGAGGTTTAGCCAGCTATGACACTGACTTTCAGTGTTCCAAGTTAGGCCTCTCTTGCCACCTTCTAAAGGAGAGAAATCAGTATAGATACAAGTTTCCAAGAAGGTTCTAGACTGATAAAAGGATAAAGTCCTTTTAGAATAATGCTTCCTTGGCACAGGCTTAGAATTATTCACTCCTAATTTATATTTTAAAGGCAGTGACTGAGCTCCATTTTGGGGAGAGGAGAACAAGCATTTCCGACAAGCAAGAAAAAGGGAAGAAAGTCTTCCTTTTGGATAGAGAACTTTGGGTTAATTATCGTTCTTAAGAGTCTCAGGACAACTGCTTTCATTAAGATGTTTCATGGAATACTACTACCACTGGTTATAGTGAAAAAAAAAGCAGGCTTCTCTGCGCTTAGTAAAGGGGCCTTGCTGACCCCTGCTGGCAGACTTTGCAATTGAAAATTTGCACCAACTGGAAAGGATCTAACCAGAACAAAGAAAGAGCTTCAGAAATTCTTTCCTAATCCTGAGAAGTTAACAGAATTTCTGATCCTGGGGCTAGCCCGATCTCTATTAACAAAGTGGTGGAAAGGGAGGATGGTTCAATCACATTTCATTTTTTCCCCCTTTATTACAGAAGTGAAATATGATTTCTTCCTGTATACACCTCTCTACTCTAGATTTTCTCCCACCTCCTACCAAAAAAAAAAAAAAAGGGGGGGGGGGGGGGCAAAAATCTGAGAATCCCAAGGGCCCTACCTGTAACTCATGAGACTAGGCTGGCAGTTAGGCCGAGAGTAACTATTGAAGGACTATGCCATCTTAAAGATTTCACACCTGGGCAAGTAGAATTTCCAAGGTCTACCTCTTTTCCTTTGGCATGGAACAGATGAGGAGAAGAAAAAAAACCACCACCACACAGAGCCACTGGCAGACTCACCATTTCATTAGGAACATGAGTTCTCCACTGGAGTCCGTAGCTCCAATAATCCGCTCTGGTTCCAAACCCCGGGCAAAGCCTCGTGGCTTTTCTGACTGTAAAAACCAGATGGAACAATTTTAACTGCATGGGATTGTTCTCCAGACCAGAGCTACTCCTGTTCTGATGATGTAATCAAATCCTTCTGCCAACATTTCACCAATTCTTTGGCTCTAAGTCACAAGCCTTTTAGAATCAGTGATTATTCCATCAAGTTTTGATGTGCTTGAGGTTTCCCCATGTGTAAAAAGGGACATTCATCTCAAGCCAAATAAATGTTCACAATTGTTTCTTCACCCTCAAAAGGTACCTTACTTTATGGTACTGAATGGATTAAAGCCTGAAATGATTAAAACATTGACAGCATCTCCTCACACACATTAATACCTTTGCACTTACTTGTTCTTAAACCTCAGATGTGAGTAGATTATGTGGCTTCATGAGAGACCCCCACCCCCCACCCCGCAGACATTTTTAAAGCATTAGCCTATCTAAGACTGCAAAAGGACTGAGATCCAAGCAGCAGCAGAAAAAAGGTGCTGAAATTATCTGGCTGTCAGCTTCTTTGACAGCAGCATGAATTCTGGGCTAGTAAAAATTCTTACTTCAAGTCTTACCTCTTCTTTTTTCTTCTTTGGTTTGCTCTCCTCCCCCTTATCTTCTGAATCAGAATCAGCTTTGCGCTTGCCTCCCTCTGATTTATCTGTCTCGTGTGCTGTTTTCTGTGACTGCAGAAACTCAGCAATGAGGTCAGGGCAATCCAGGTTCTCTTCTGGTTCCCATGTGTTATCCTCACTGAAACCAGAGGCACACGAGTCACAAAGTTAGTACACACTCACACCACTGAGAGGCACAGGAGGACGAGAGCTGCTGGCCTTGGAGAAGAACTCGATTCTGTCCAAGACCAAGAACTCGACAAAGCTCAAATTACTTGGGAGGTGGTAGGGGGCTTTTTAATATTAACACAAATCAAAAGCTGCCTCCCTCAAAAGAGAGTTTCCTTTCTCTTCGCAAACTTCCATCAGTCTTAAGCCACACACAAACCTGCTCATCAGAAACTGGTCACGCATGATAGCATTTAGTACATGTAGATCATGTTCCTAATCGGACTATAAGCCATGGAGGCCAAGCCAGAGTCACAATGTACCATCAGAGCACCCCGTGCCCTGTCCTGCACACGGTCAGCCTCCCGAGAAGCAGCTGGTGGCCGAGTGCACAGCCCCTCCGGGCAGAGACACTCACTCTGAGAACCCCTTCCACTTCAGCAGGTACTCCACTTTGCCCTTCACCACTCGGCGGTCTAGGACTTTCTCCACCACATACTCTTCCTCCTCTTCTTCTAGCACCTCCTCCACTTTCTTCTTGTTTTGTTTTTTCCCCATAGTGCCCGCCAGCTTTCTGGTATAAAGGATGACGCTGCTAAAATGATAAAGGAAATAAAAAGGACATTAGGGCACTCTTCTTAGGGGAATATGTGGATAAGAAAACCAGGGATATAAAAAATGACTTTAATAGGGCACGAAGCTGTTATCAAATGTTATGCCTATTCATTTTCAATACCCAAGAGTTTTCTGATTATGCTGAACTAGAAAGTTAGTTTTCTAAAACAGCTCCAACTAATCTCACTGCAAAACTTCTTTATGCCTGCACATCCACTTAAAACTTTTATACTCATTCTAAGTTTAAAAATAACTCCCAATACATCTCTACTTGTGATAGCTAAAGTATTACATTAATTTGAAAGAAAAGCAACCTTCCCAAAAATAAGGTCTATACATCAAACCTAAAATATATATAACCCGCTGATCCATACTTTCTCCTATTCTCTGAATGTTTTTCAATTTCACCAAAGTATTCGACTTGGGTTTTTACTATGGGAAATGGCTTATCCTATTTATTAGACATCTAGTTTAATTTTCCCTTCTGTATATGCATATATAATATATACAATTCTGCATTGTTAAGCACCATCTCATTTGAGTTCCCTTAAGACTTATGTGGTTTTTTTTTTCTAAGAATGCCACCATTAATTCTCATTTGTTAAGTTTTTATTCTTTTTATTTCTAAGTCTGAGAAAGATTCATAAAAATGCCAGAATGACCATGAGATTCTCTAATGAATTTGGAAGTAAGTATGGGAAAAAAGATATCACACGTAACAACACCTGTATTCTTTTGTATAATATATCAGGCTAGGTAACCTCTAGGGCTTCCCAGGTGGCGCTAGTGGTAAAGAACCCACCTGCCAACGCAGGAGACATAAGAGACATGGGTTTGATTCCTGGGTTGAGAAGATCCCCTGGAGGAGGGCATGGCAACCCACTCTGGTATTCTTGCCTGGAGAATCCTATGGACAGAGGAGCCTGGTGGGCTACAGTCCACAGGTTGCAAAGAGTCAGACACAACTGAAGAGACTTAGCACACATGCACAGTGACCTCCAAGGGTTTCTCCAGTCCCCTACAAAGCTGTTCTCTTTGGTCCCTCGTACAACTCTTCTAACTGCTGGGTAGGCACTGGGCTGCCATCTGTGGGATTGCACAGAGTTGGACACGGCTGAAGCGACAGCAGCAGCAGTAGCAGGCATAAAGCCTACAACTGTGTCAGTAGGTGGCGCCATAAGATACTAATACAATAAAACTGATCTACAAAACTGGCTGAAATCTACAAACTGATAGATCAGCTACCAGCAGGAAGTATAGAGTCAAAACTATGGCAGATGATCCAAGACAGGAAAGTGGTTACTACCATGTTTCATGTTTGTATTTAAGGCAGTGCCAATTTGGGGGGTTAAACTGCTTATTTCTAGCATCCTTGGGAAAGGAGTCTTACTGAGTGAAAGTATAAACACTTTTACATATTTTTAAACTGGCATGTGGACAGAATATATTTAGAAAGAGCTCATCTATAGACTATATGAAATAAATCTTACATAAAAATCACACTCACCATTGTGAATCAGTTACAATATCTACAGATGTTGAGTTAGTTTACATTCTGAGATATTCTCATTTCGGTACATATGAGCAGTTTGGACTAGTGAAACAACAAATATTTGGTTGGCTGCTAGAAAATTTTAGACATTGCCGGAGACTGGAGATTCTAGAGAGTAAGTAATGGTCCCTGTTTTCCAGAAACCTCATGTCTGCCGATTAAAAATAAAGATGCCTCTTCCATTAAAGGCATTCTGAACTTCACATGGAAAGTTTTCTGAAGTGCTTTTAGTGCGGTCTATGGCAACACCCAATGCCCCTGTCCACACAGCTCACACATTCATCTATGCTGACTCCTCCTCTTTATTTACATTTGCTCGTTCCTCTTCTTTTTTTTTTACCAAAGATTTTGCTTTCCTCCCTCCCCAACCCCTGTTTTAGTGCCACACAAGTTTTCCTTTTCTTCTGTTACTGAAGAGACTAATCAATGCATTGACTGTCAGCTTTGGCTAATTATTGGCTACTGTGCCTCTGATTCAAAGGCTGTTTCTTCTTCCTGGAGGGAAGTATTTTCAGGTTTTCAGAATTCTGATTGCCATGATAAGTGTTATTTTATCCGGAAAGAAAACAAATCTAATTTTATTCTTTAGGATAAGTGCTGCAGTAATAGCTGCTCCCAAGAACAAGTGCTACTCTTTGCAGGATTTATCATCAGTCTTTGGTTAAAGTGCAGAGAAAAATAAATTGACAGTTACCTTTCAATAACAAAGGGTACCACAACTCCCTACAGTGGTTTGGACTCAGAAATTAGAAGCCACTCCCTTTCTAAACAGACAGAAAGAAAACAGTGGTTTATAGACAACTCTAAACCAGTAACTGAAAAAATAAATAAACCAGTAACTGTTCCCTAATCAACCTTTTTCTAAGCAATTAAAGAAAGTAAAGAAAAGGCAGTCTTATCACTATGGCTTCAGAATTAGCTATTTATCTGTGTTGTCTACATTAATAGCTGTATTTGTCTTACAGAAAGTCCTGCTACTACAAAATAATGACAGTGTCTACCTCATCTCTAGCTACTGGGAAATCTGGAGTGAGACTTCTTGATTTTCCTCTTACTCACTTAACTCATTGTCCTAAGAGCAACTCAAATGAGAAGTGAAGAATGAAAACACCTCCACTTCTGTCTTGAGTTTTCGTAACTAGCTCATCCCAGCATCTGTCTCCAGGTTAGATTCTTTATATTGGAGATTCTCAGCCAGGCTTCCCAATTTGAGTTTTTTCCTTATTTATTGGTACATCTCTGGGGTCCTGAATAAGCCATTTGTCAAAGTCAGTAGAGAAGTGGATTAAATACACAACTCACTCTTCCCACAAAACCAAGCACTTTCAGACAAGCCAAAGTGAAGGTGTCAGTTGCTCAGTCGTGTCCAACTCTTTGCGACCCCATGGACTGTAGCCCTCCAGGGTTCTCCATCCGTGGGATTTTCCAGAATACTGGAGTGAATTGTCATTTCCTTCTCTAGGGAATCTTCCTGACTCAAGGATCGAACTTGGGTCTTTCACATTGTGGGCAGACTCTTTACCATCTGAGCCACCAGGGAAGTCAGACAAGCCAAGATCTCCCTTAAATATTACGACAGACCAGTCGTTTGCATATACTTTCCAAACTGATGTCAAGAGAAATCCCCTCTCCTTGAATACGGCAGTCTCCAAATACCAGCAGTAACATCTGGAAGGAGGGCTCTGAATTGGAATTGCTTGGCAAGGAAATTTCAAAGTAACTCAGATCAGAGTAGTAGCACAATGGAAAAATGCCATTAGTCAATTCTATTTGCCTCTCTCTAAATATCCTGGCAACCAAATTATAGCATAAAAAGTGCCAAAATCAATGAACAAAGGGTCAAGATATATACCAGAACATCATAATGTGTACACACAGGTGAATAGTTCTAAATTAACTCAGAAATATTAGTCTGCGGACAAGTCTTCTTAAGGCTCATCACAATGTTTCAGACAAAAATACCTATGATCAGTTAAGCTGCTACAATTTTTACCTAAATATTTAACTGGATCTGCCACATTAAAAAAATTCTTTTTAATTTTGTCTGTGCTGGGTCTTCACTGCTGCACTCAGGCTTTCTCTAGTTGCAGAGAGTGGGGGCTACTCTCTAGTTTCGGTGTACAGGTTTCTCATTGCAGTGGCTTCTCTTGTTCCAAGAGTATGGGCTCTAGGGCACCGGGGCTTCAGTAGCTGGGGATGGCTGGTCTCTATAGAGGGCAGACATCAGTAGTTGTGGTGCACAGGCTTAGCTGCCCCAAGGCACGTGGGATCTTCCCAAAGCAGGGATCAACCCCATGTGTCCTGCTTTGGCAGGCGGATTCTGAACCACTGGACCACCAGGGAAGTCTGATTTGCCACATTTAAAATGCCTAGAAAAATAATACCTCACATTTATATTGCACTTTACAGTTAATGTGCTACCACAACTCATTTGATCTTTGAAATCATACTATAAAATAAGCCATTCAGATGCCACTGACACCAGAGATAACACAACAGATTTACAGGAAATAAACCTCCCAAGGTCACACAATTAATAAAATTATAGCACTTCAGTATGCACATCTCCTAGCAGGGCTGGGCTAATCACCCTGACACACACACAGATCTAGGAGCTAGACCAAACAACATACTTAAGGGAGATTTCCCTCCAGCCTGTACTAGGAAAGGATCTAAAGGTCTGACTTGATCCTCTCTACAATTTGTCATCAGTAAATAAGAAATGACTGACAATGATTTCTTTCAGTTAAGACCTTGGAATATGTATAGGTGTTTAAAAATTACTTGGTCTTTTCCAGTGAGTCTGCTGATGTGGAGAGCAGGCTCATTTGAAAAGACCCTCATGCTGGGAAAGACTGAAGGCAAAAGAAGGGGGCAGCTGAGGAAGAGATGGTTAGATAGCATCACTGACTCAATGGACATGAATTTGAGCAGACTCTGGGAGATGGTAGAGGACAGAGGAGCCTGGTGTGCTGCATCCATGGGGTCGCAACTTAGTGAATGAACAGCTGTTAATTAAATAATCACGTGTGACAAAGTTTTGGTTTTTAGGGCCCCAGGAGTCTTCTGAGTCTTTTAAACTGACAAGTGCCATGTGCTCAGTTGTTTCAGTCATGTCCGACTCTTTGTAACCCCATGGACAGCAGCCCGCCAGGCTCCTCTGTCCATGGGATTTTCCTGGCAAGAACGCTGCTAGGAGAATGGGTTGCCATTTCCTCCTCCAGGGGTTCTTCCCGACCCAGGGATCATAGGAAGCAACTCTTCATCAGTTGATTTTGAGATTGCAGCAATTTAGTCTACGGCCATACCACCCTGAACACGCCCGATTTCATCTGATCTCGGAAGCTAAGCAGGGTCGGGCCTGGTTAGTACTTGGATGGGAGATTGCAGCAATTTACTCTTCAGACTCCACTTCTAAATCTAATTCTCTTGCTATTTCCACTACATGTGCATTTCCTTCACTAAAGTCTTGAACTCCTCAAGGTCATCCATAAGGGTCAGAAATTAACTTCTTCCAAATTCCTATTAGTGTTGATATTCTGACCTCTTCCAATGAACCACGAATGTTGTTAATGGTATCTAGAATGGTGAATCCTTTCCAGAAGGTTTTCAATTTTCTTCCCCCAGATCTATCTGAGCCGTCACTATCTATGGCCGTTATAGCCTTACAAAATGTATTTCTTAAATAATAAGACTTGAAAGTCAAAATGACTCCTTGATCCACCAGCTGCAGAATGATGCTGTGTTTGCAGGCATGAAAACAATATTAATCTTTTACATCTCCATTAGAGCTCTTGGGTGACCAAGTGTATTATCAATAAGCAGTAATATTTTGAAAAGAATCTTTTTTCCTGAGCAGCAGGCCTCAACAGTGGGCTTAAAATACTGTAACTTTATTGTGTGCAGCAGATCTTTTCACACCAATTATTAGTTTTTCCATGTGGAATAAATTAAGATTTAAAATGATAAAGTTACTGTTAAGGAGATGCACTGGGCAATAGAAAAAGCTGAAGAGTTTTGTCTGAAACTGGAAAACAGAATAGTCTGGAAAAAAGGGATATAAGGAAAGTACCATACCATTGCTAAGACCAAAAAAAGCAGCTTTGGGGGCCATGTTGTAAACTTTTTTGTAAACATATGTGCTGTCATCCAGGTTTTGTTATTCCATTTATAGAACACAGTCAGAGTAGATTTTTAAGGGCCCTAAGATTTTTGGAATGGTGAATGAGCACTGGCTTCAACTGAAAGTCACCAGCTATATTAGCCCCTATAGAGTCAGCCTGTCCTTTGAAGCCAGGTATTGACCTCTCCTGCTATGACAAAGTCCTAAACGGCATCTTCTTCCAATAAAAGGTTGTTTCAACTACGTTGAAAATATGTTGTTTACTGTAGCCAACTTCATTAATTGTTTTAGCTAGATCTTCTAGATAACTTGCTGTACCTTCTACATCAGCACTTGCACCACTTGCATCACCTTGCACTTTTAAGTTACGAAGACAGCTTTTTTAAAATCTTACTAACCAACCTCTGCTGACTTTTCTGCAGCTACCTTACCTTGTGAGGCTTTCATAGAAACGAGTTAGGGCCTCCTCTGGATTAGACTTTGCCTTAAGGAAATGTTGTAACTGGTTTAATCTTCTATCCAGACCATTAAAACTTTCTACATATGAGCAAAAGGCTGTTTTGTTTTCTTATCATTCATGTGTTCACTGGAGTAGCACTTTTAATTTCCTTCAGAAACTTCCTTTGCATTCATAACTTGGCTAACCAGTGCCTATCTTTGGCCTTCGGCTTTTAACATGCCTTCCTCATTAAACTTAATAGTTTTTAGCCTCTAAAGTGAGTGACACAACTTTTCCTCTCACTTGAATACTTACAGGGCATTGTAGTGTTATTAAATGGCCTAATTTCAAGGAATAGGGAGGCCTGGGGAGAGGAACAGAGACTGGAACAGCTGGCAGATTAAGTTCTGCTGTCTTAAATGGGCATGGTTTGTGGTACCCAAAAACAATTACAATAGTAATATCAAAGATCACTGGAAAAAAAAAAAGATCACTGGTCACTGTTTAACAGTAATGAAACATTTGAGGTATTGAGAGAATTGCCAAAATGTGACACAGAGACATAAAGTGAGCAGATGCTGTGGGAAAAATGACATTGATAGACTTCCTCGACACAGGGTTGCCATAAACTTTTACCTTGTAAACCTTCAATTTGTAAAAAATTCAATTATCTTCAAAACACAATAAAGTGAAGTGCAATAAAGTGAAGTCTGAGTGAAGGGGTATGAGAAGGATCTGAGAAGACAATGTAAGCATAGCTCCTGCTTGCCATCACATACCTGAATTATAAAGGGCTACCCCAGAACTTCCAAGCTGATTTCTTGCCAGCTTTCAGAAAGGTCCAACTCCAGATGGGAGGACAAGGTAACATCTACAGACCTCTAAAACCAGACCAGTAGGGCGTTTTCAGTAAATGCTAAGGTAAAACACACTGGTCTGGTGAGGTGACCATCTATATTAAGAAAGAATTCACAGGAAAGCAGACCTTGAGCAGAGAACTTTCACCTAAATGAGAAAAAGACTCACCTATGAAATTTATAAATACAGAAGTCTACATCCAGTGAGTCAAAAAATAGAGTATGTGTAGTATTTCTTAAAATATTTTGTTTTCCTAATTGTAATATAACTTGTAATATAACATATATATTCATATTCTATTACAAAATTATTTAATGTAGGAAATCAAAGTTTCCTTCCTCAAAACCTGTCTTTGTCCTTCTACATGTAAACTAACCCAGATGTACATATGTGAAAATAGATATTACAGTTCTATAATTTGCCTTTTAATATAATGTATCTCTGACATTGTTCCATAAAGATCTCCATTCTTAAGCTGCACAGTATTACATATCATATGGACACACCATACTCTAACCATTCACCTAGTGATGAAAATTTGGGTTGTTTCCTATTTTTTATTATTGCAAACAGTGTTGCTTTGATCACGGCATCTCATCTTTAAAAGCTCCTTAGGCGATCTGACGCACATCCTCAGAAAAAAGTCACTGCTACAAGAGGATTGACAGAAACTACATTCCTCAGTAAAATTACATAATTATTGCAAACACAAATCAATTCTTATACTTAGCGAAAAGGTAGGTGAACATTTTACTTCCTCCATAAAGCCCATTATTCCAGTCCATTTAGAATGAGACTGGAACAGTAAGTGATAACTGATGTTCTTGAAAACAAAACTTCTGTATCATATTCAACAGCATTCACTCTAGACCTTTTTTCTCCTAGCAATGAAACTGGAAGAGTACTGCTTGAAGACTCCTTAGAATTCCTCTAACCAGATGAAAGCTAGCAGTATGACCACCAGAAGCATA